CAACGTGGTGCGATCATCCCCCTTGCGCGGAGTGAGGGTTCTCCATCCCGCACAACATGATCTACTCGACCAACATTATGGTTACCGCCAAAAAAAATAACCGGAGGTAAAAAAATACCTGGTTGCCGAGTTCACGAAGTGAACTGGCTTGTTTCACAACGTCGTTGCCAAGCGACGAAAACCCAACCCCGATGGCAAACACCGGCGAGGGGGAGGGCGGCTTGTTTTACAACGTCGTTGCCAAGCGACGAAAACCCAACCCCGATGGCAAACACCGGGGGCGGGGAGGGGGGGGGGTGAAGGTTGAGGTTGTACGCGCTGCCGTCTGGTACTTCTCACGCCGGGTGGTTTGCTGGACCATTTTCATACTTGCCTTTCATGAAAAACTTTTCAAGCCTCAACAGTGACCATATTTTTCTCCCACTACTACAAGCAGCCGAAAGCCAAACCCTGTAAGAACCACGAGCTTCCTTGTATTGTCAAATGAACGCCACCCTACTTCTATAGAGTATTTCCGATGTGGCCTATGGACCAAGGTTCCTGCCCGGCGTTGACGACAAAAAAGGAAAATAGAAGCAGCACGAAGAACCACGCAACAGCCACTAGAGCTCTCTTGACATTGAAAACCGTCCCGATCTCTTACTAGGACCTTCTGACATATGCGAACCCCTTGGGTGCTTATGTGAGCAGGTTGACCCCAAAGACATGGCACTAATGGAGGCGTTGGGGTTAAGGGTGCTCACATTCCTTTGACACGGATCCGAGATACAGCAGAAGGAATGGCCGTCCGAACACCTTGATTATTGCTCACCACGTGCGAAAAAGAAAATCACAGCCATCAGCCTTTGCCTACCAAACCTTCCCCCCCCCCAACAGGGGTGGACCGAATCGTGTGTGGGGCAGTTAGTCTAGATTATCATGCAAGGGGTTGATGTCCCCCGAAACCATTTCACATTCATTTCATCAAAGTAGCGGAGGTTTTCCTCGTCTAGAATATCCAAACCTGCACTTAATCTTGTTGAATAAATCCTACCCGGTGCCTAAAAACATGCTCCAAAACGAACGTTTGGGCTCCTTCGGAGCTACTCTGCCATCGATGGTAAGAATCACGGCAAAGGGCAAGAGAGAACATTGCTCCTGACCAAACACAACCGAAAAAATATCTCAAGTCCCCCGGAATCGAGAGTATTCCGTCCATGACACCGGAAAAAAATATTCTGCTTCATTTGGTACATACCTACGCGCATAGAGGAGCTGGCTGGCTATAACTTGCATGGTACGAGGTGATACGCCTCCCCGCCTCCCCCAATTGTCTCATTACATACCCTACCCAGAGAGGCACACAGGGAGAGGGAAAAAAAAGGGAGGAAATGTAGTAAAATCGGAAATAAGATGCAATCATTGGCACCAACTCCGTACGCAGCCCAACAAACCAAGAACAATCGGTCCACGAAAGGAGGCACGACAAATCAAGCATACTACAAACAAGAACAACATTGTTTACTTTCACCACCTTCAAGAAAAACGTATAGCCTCTACGTACTACCTCTGCAAGATAATCCTTTTGCCGTGATCTACAGAGTCACCCAGGCGCCTCCACCAAATTATGCATGTTGTGTTCCTCGCCCCCTACAAGTTCTTCCAAGGTCATGCCTCTCACGACTACTATCAGTCAGATCAGTTGTTTCCATTATCCTACATTCTCCCTGTGTCCGTGTTTTCAAATACTGTTTTCCAAGATATATCGACACCTAACCTTCGCTATCCCCTCATCAAACCTACGCTATCGTATGCACGGTACACCTTCAGGAGGAACGGAAGAAGGCAAGACCTAACCTACAATATGCAGCAACAAAATTAAGCAACGGAGTGTTTGGTACGGTACCGGTATTCTCGGTAAGGTATTTACATCGTACCCAACGTACCGAACACTTCGGTAAGGTACTGAAGTCCGTACCGAACGTACCAAATACTTCGGTAAGGTATTCAAGTCCATACCGAACGTACCGAGCATCCCCGGTATGGTATGGCAGTCCATACCGGTACCGTACCGGCGATATCGGTATTTGTCCGGTATTTCTCCCGTGCGTCGCCTCAATATTACAATATTACACGCAATACGCCCCAATACTTACATGCAATATCAATTTTGATATTGCTCATCAGGAATGTGCGTGTGCGTACAACAGCAAGACCTAACAAAGATGGTACGGAGTCAATCCGAATCCGAGACTCTCCCTATTGAAAATGGAAGGCAGGAGAGAACAGCAAAACAAAAAATAAAATAACACGAGTCTTCATCTTGAATACGGAGTATAATTTTAATGTTATCATCAGTTTTAGAATTATGATTTGATTTTGGACTCCTATTTTTCTCTTATTACGCGCGCGAGTCCAACAAAACAAAGCAACCAACCTAGACCACACGACGAAGGACTTGAACTTCCAAGGGTCTGTACGACAGTAAAAATTCAAGAGGGAATTGCCCTGTTGCAAAATCGAAACAATAGCGGCCGGCGAAAACATAGATTTCAAACTGAGTCCAAGTGAAGGACAAGTACCGAACGGACACTAGGAAACGTGGGAAACGTGTGCCCCCACGCGACAAGTAACCAGAAAAGGGTAAGATATAACGTCATTGTATCAGAGCAGATGTTTCTCGATATTAAACTAAGGACATGCCAACGGTAAGGCCATCGACGTTTGGCGCCTCCGTGTTATTCAGAAAGTCGAAGGTGTTTTCAGCCGCAACAAAGTCCGTGTCTTGCCCCGAGAACCGGCCGGGAAGACACGAGCGGATATCCTTCGAAGCGATCATGGGGATGACACCGTACGCGGGGATGCTATCGAAGTTTGCTTTGAGGAACATAACCATCTCCAACCAGTACGTGTCCGTGCGGCTCCCATTCGAGGTCATGAGGGTACCGCAACCACTGAAGTCGCGCTCGATTTGCGCAGCAGAGGCCTGGTTCCCGAACACCTGCTGGGCAACAGGCGCCAGGGTCGGGAATTGGTTCTTGCCCTTGGTCGCCCACCAACCGAGCACTTCCTTAGGATGCAGCTGACGATGATGAGCTTTGGTCGCCAGCTGCGGGGTCATCGTTGTTGCTGCAGGGGGGGGTGGTGTGTTGCTCATGAGGGCGGCTGGTGCTGGTGCGCACCACCAGCTGTACGCTGTACCGATTGAGTAGGGTACGCCGGTACACTGCTGTGCTGCTGGTCTGCTGGTGCTGTACGTGTGTGTGGCGGTATCGGGTAAATGTCATGCCTAACTTCCCGATTAGCCAGATACCGGTACGCTCGGTACCGGTATGGCACCGGTACCGGCATACACGTCGTACCGAACGTACCGAACACTTCGGTAAGGTACTGAAGTCCGTACCGAACGTACCGGTATTTTCGGTACGGTATTCAAGTCCATACCGAACGTACCGAGCATCCCCGGTATGGTATGGCAGTTCATACCGGTACTGTACCGAACATCTCGGTATTTGTAACGAACGCACCGACAACTTCGGCAAGGTATTGAAGTCCATTCCGAACGTACCGATATTTTCGGTAAGGTACTGAAGTCCGTACCGAAGGTACCGAACACTTCGGTAAGGTATTGAAGTCCATACCAAACGTACCGAACATCTCGGTACCGGTATACCAGAAATATAATACCGCTGGTACGCCTCGGTATGTACCGTACCAAACACACCCTTGAAAATTAGCAATCATAGCAGCCAGTTTTCATCCTCGTGATAGCAGGGATGGTGCAGCAGTGATGATGGTGCACCGATATTGGTCCCCAGACAAGGAAGAGTGATTGCTCGACTGGGCCTTGGCTACCCCCCTCCCTGCCTCGTCCCTCCATCAAAGAGCGATCGTCGGCGACAGTGAAGGCGAGCCAGCTTCCCCCAGGTCTCGAAAAATCATGACTGTTTTAACTCCTTTCGTCCCTCTCGCTCATTGAATGCTGCATGAATCGCAGCACAGTATGGCATCGAGGAGCATGCCGCACTTGCTTGGCTTGTTGCAGCTTTCGCACCGGTGGAATTGGGCAGACGCGGGGTTTGCGCCTGGGCGACCACGCCAAATCAACAAGGCAGGTACGAGAAGGGACGCAAAACTCGTGACGGCGAGGAAATGGAAATGTCGTCAGGAGCAAACCTTTGCCACAACATGAGTGAAGAAGCATAAGGGATTCAGGGGTAGCTTGTGTATGCAAAACTAAGGTAGGGATTTCAGCGGCGGGAAAACAAGGCAATCGCTACATACAGAGAACACGACGCCACCTAAGAACCTGGAAGTATGAAAGTACAGGAACTTGAACCCTTTCTTAAAGACGTTAGGTTACCCAAAAGAAGAAATGAGCCAACATAGGAGGTTCTCAAGTTCTGGGGAGTCCTGTATATGCATAAAAACCAAACGATAGCCTTGGAGTCTACGCTGGTCGAATGGGTTCGAAAACAACGGGGCGACGCTTGGGGTTGGCGGGTCCAGAGAGGCTGACTGAGGCAAAACGACGAGGAGCGTGTGCGGCAGAAAAACTGCAGCCTGAGACAACAATGCGATATAGGGCTTGAAGTGACTACGGTATGAGCGAATGTCTTCACGTTCACTCTCTCACCATTTCCGCAGTATAATTGTTACTTGGTTCCGTGTGATGAATCAATCGGCCAGGCAAGACCGTTCTTGCAAGCTCGCCCAACGCACCTGGTTTGCGAGCGAACTGCTCTCCGCACTGCAGCAGCCGGGCAGCCAGCAGAGGTGGAAGATAGAGTTGAGTCGAACAGGCAGCATGGCAGCATGTGGCAGGTGGAGAAGGAAAGGGGAGCGAAACGGAGGGGTGGATCGCATTAACCTCAGCATACGAATGACAAAAAACACAAGGACACAAAAACCTTGATGGGTGCTGCATTACATCATCGAAGTGACCTAAACTTCATAGTTGGATAAGACCTCCATGTTCGTCACTGAGGTTTCGCTGCTGACCACCAGACCCTGTTGGACTGCAACATGCCTGCGTGTCCACTTTGCATTACCTCGCTCTACGCCCCACAAGTAGTGCGACCCTGCTGCCGTCGACAGGTCAAGGTGGGGTGGTTATCATGTTTATGCGTGTGATTATTGTTTGACCCTCTCTATTCCTTTTGCGTGTCCACGAGTTCTGTGTGCGGCGTTTCGTCGCTAATGAGGCCGCGCGGAAGACTGAAGACGCAGTCGCGGACAAGCGTTCATGACTTTTGGGTGTGCACGGGTCGTTTGGCTTCAGAATCGGACCGCATACCAGCTTCGAAAATCCTACTTGCAGCTCACCGATCTCGATGCAAAAAGGATCGCTTGGAAACATAAGGAAGAATATGATGTATCTGTGTTTGGTCCACATCGCACGCACTGGTTGCTCATCGCAGCTGTAAGAGGGCCAATATTCGGCGAAAGAAATCTGTTGTAAAGCCGTCCGTATCTTTGTCATGACAGCTTCATCGAGTTCACCGTAGCCAGCCGTAGTTGGGATCGTGCAGTAGCCATCCAACGTTGGAAGGCGAGCTTTCCCTCACTGAGTGGTAAGTCCTGCAACTTATTCGGGGATGGAAAGGGCGACGTCGGAAAAGATCGATGTTAAATTTTCAAAAAATAATCAACTCCTTAGAAAGTAACATTGTAGGTCCATCGGTGAAGTGCGCGGTGTATTAGTTTTTATACATTCGTTGAAGATGTACACACTTGGGGGGTAGTGATGAAATATAATGAAAGAAAAAAGCACGGTACGTCACCTTCCTTGGACGGACAAGAGATGGTCACCAAACATCCGCTTTAGTTCTCCGTCTTCGGCATTCATCGACGCGAAGTTGGAACGGCAATTGTGCGCCCGGGATTCATTGCGAAATTTTTGTGCTGCGGGATAGTTGTCAACGATATAGAGTTTGGGATGAAATGAGGCCTCCGGTTACGAAAAGCCCGGAGACTCCACCCAGGGTTACTACCTCCGCGTTGACGCCCTCCGTGTCGTCAACGCGGTAGTCGCTCAGAATACTGACCCCTGTCAAATCAAATACCTAGCATAGTTGGGTGGGTGGGGACGGCTGTTCTTCCTACCGTACCCTCCCTCCGTTAGGGTTGGGAAGGCTTGTCACGAGTGGGTGCTCGCTCCAAGTCTTCTCTGCAGGCAATCTGTTCTCATCTGCAGAACCCCTTCGCGGTTCCATGATTTCGACATTATTTACTGGGGGATAGTTGTCAACGATATAGAGTTTGGGATGAAATGAGGCCTCCGGCCACGGCGCGGGATCCACCCATACTTCACATTTCGGCTATTCATGCTGTGTCGGTGCCTGACGTCTGATATTGTATCCCAAGCTTCCGTATATACTAGTGAATCGAGTTTCGATAGCCATTAGTCTAAATCCCGAAAGCAAACGTCTCCGCGAAGCCTTCCTGCGTGGGCAAATCCACTGCTTGGATATACCGCTGCTCCTGCTCCCTCCGGTCCGGATCTCGCGGACGCTCAGCGGAGGAGGCCCCCCGTGTATCATGGGGCCAACGTACCGCTGGGCTACCCTTCTCGTCTTCCACCCCGCTAGCTCCATAAGGGCTTCTACGGCCGACCCCGCGAAGGACTGGCTAACGGCTCCTCCTACCCTAAAGGAGTACATAGTATACAAGCCGTGGTGGTCGTTCAAACGGCCTTCCCGCATTTGACTTTGCAGAGCCGCTGTCATTCGAGCTGCGGTCCACTGTGACGTCCCCCTGGAGCCATCTCACTGGATCTCGGGAAACAGGTACCACTCACCCAACCCAACAACCCACGGACTTCGCGACGATGAAAAACTCTTGTACCGCTCGGACTGGACATAGTTCGCTACACTTCTTATCCCTTTTAGCAACGACTGCGTGTGACGAACTGCGGAGCGTCTTGCCAAAGTGNGGAGCCATCTCACTGGATCTCGGGAAACAGGTACCACTCACCCAACCCAACAACCCACGGACTTCGCGACGATGAAAAACTCTTGTACCGCTCGGACTGGACATAGTTCGCTACACTTCTTATCCCTTTTAGCAACGACTGCGTGTGACGAACTGCGGAGCGTCTTGCCAAAGTGAAGGTTGAACATTATTCCTTGGCCTTCTGGGAGGCGCAACACCTGTGCTGCTAATGCGCATGCCAAATCGAATCCCCGCTGCATCGTGTGGAAGGCGACTACAAACGCCGCGACGTCTCTACTGCGAGCCGCTCGCTCACCCANGTTCCTAATATCTCGACCATGGCCCTCTTGAGTTTCGCGACGAATCCTTTGTCCAATGTTTGGGCCGCATATCTNGCGAGGCGCAAAAGTAGCGGGGCCAACGTGGGCCTGGCTTGTTTGACAGAAACTCCCGCCCGGCGCTGTTCGGTTTGGGCGTACGAGAGGTACCGACGAACAGCCGCGCTATCGGCCGCATTACCTCGCTTCTCCCTGTCGTCCCACGGATCAGACTTCGCTAATATCTCGACCATGGCTCTCTTGAGTTTCGCGACGAATCCTTTGTCCAATGTTTGGGCCGCGTATGTCTTCGCACACGTATTTCCCGGACTACAGGACTCCAACGAATTGGACCCGATCACGACACAATCAATTGCATGAACCACCTTCGTGCCGCTACCGTGAGNTTTTGCGTGCCTCCAGTCGATCGGCATCGATGACCACGGTGGCCCCGGGAACACGCGGCTCTNTCCCGGACTACAGGACTCCAACGAACTTGACGAGTTCGCGACATAATCGACTGCATGAACCACCTTCATGCCGTTACCGTGAGCACAACCAGCCAAGTACGTCGGCGTCGGTGGCCCTCTCCCACCCTCGACGTCCTTCTGTGTGCGCTCTCAGAAACGCGTCGAACTTATCCGCCACGGCGGATTTCCGGCGTTGCCCGGCTGTAGTCGCGGAGGCGACCTGGACGGCTTTTTTGCGTGCCTCCAGTCGATCGGCATCGATGACCACGGTGGCCCCGGGAACACGCGGCTCTAAAAGCCCCCGAAACGGCTGTACCCCGCAATGTTGACAAAAGTTGAACGTCGATTCGTTTTGTGCCCCACACGCACTACACAAGAATTGTGGTACCCGGTCCGGCGCGCGCGTGGCCCCCGGGGGAATGCGCTCTAACGTCCCCTGGTCGTAATGCTGATGTCATACGGACGAAACGAACGATGCCAAGGAAGCAACACCTGTCAACTATCATACGATATGGTTTCATAAATGACGAAAGTCCAATTCTACCGCTCGCATTCCGTGTCTAATGTAGACGTATTCGCGCTTACCGTCCTGATGGTGGGGATATCCAAAACTCCCCCGTCTCGGCAACACGAGCGATTTGACAGTAGCTCGNATTCGTTTTGTGCCCCACACGCACTACACAAGAATTGTGGTACCCGGTCCGGCGCGCGCGTGGCCCCCGGGGGAATGCGCTCTAACGTCCCCTGGTCGTAATGCTGATGTCATACGGACGAAACGAACGATGATAAGGAAGCAACACCTGTCAACTATCATACGATATGGTTCCATAAATGACGAAAGTCCAATTCTACCTCTCGCATTCCGTGTCTAATGTAAACGTATTTGCGAATACCGTCCTGATAGTGAGGGTATCCAAAACTCCTCCGTCTCGGCAATACGAGCGATTTGACAGTAGCTCGCCCAACTCGCGGTAGCCAATACTCGTGCACATCCCGTATCACGACTACGGCGTGGGCCCGGCATTCGGCGAGATGCTGGACAACATGACCCATCATGACCGGGGGTGGGGAACAGTACCCAAATGCCGGCGTGCCCAACCCCGGTGTAACCGCCACATCCTGACGTAAAACATCTACACCCACCGTTCCTTCGCACGAGTAACGCGAGAAAAATGGTAGTCGGCACTTTACCCCTGTGTCACGCGGTCGGACTTCCCAAACGTGGCCACAAAATTCGCGTACCATGCATCATCGATGTATGCCAGCACCGGGATGCCCCGCGAGCGTAGATACGACACCTTAGCTTCCCTCAGGGAATGATAGCACACCGGGCTCTCGTTCCATCCGAACGGAAGAGTAGTACACACGTAATCAACGCCTTCGTAGTGTACGCCGAAAAGTGGCCAACTCTCGGGTTGCAGGCTCAGGTTATGGAAGCCCGCTCGATCATCTAGACTCCCTATCAAAACCCCTCTTCGGCTACCACCGCTACACATGAAACCGTGTCCATCGTAAAAGGTACATGTCTACAGCACTTGTTGAGTGGAATGCCGTTGATGATCATACGTGGCTTGGTAGGCTCGATCGAGATAGACAGCAACATCCGTGGCCTATCCGGGCCATTCGGACCTTGATCGTCAGCCCACCGAGCCAAACAGCCGCGCTTAGCCAATTGTTGCACTTCGCGTCTCAAATTCCGCATGATCGTCGGGGATACGGTTGGGGAATACTTCTCCCGGGAATGCTTCCGGGCGATACGGTTCGTTACGCGAACGCCCGCGGTATACCTCGGTAAGAAATCGAAGACGCTGACGTCGTCGCGTAGGTACGACATGAGTGTGTGATCTCTGAGGATAACCTTATCCCAAAACTCGTAGTTATGATTCAAGCCCCAAGGAACGAAACCTTCGCCATTTTCGCCGGCGTCTCGTACGGGAGCTTCCCACGGCAGGCGCGTGTACTTCCCTCCGCTCGGTTCGCGTTCTACGTCGGCTACAGTGGGTACATAGTCTACGCTCGGCTTTGATCGT